GAAAAATATAAAAATAATAATAATAATTAGTATAATATTTTTTGAAGACAAACGTGCGTTTTCAAAAGAATAAAAAACAGAAGCATGGTAACGAACTTGGGAACGTGTTAAACTTTGCAAATTGCATATGCTTATAGAACTTAGCAAAACAATTGAAACCATTAAAAATAATTCCGAGAAAATAAAATATTTTCTCCATTTCAAACATGAATAAGACCAATGCCTAACCTCCCCCAAAATCAAAGTTTTAGAAATCACAAATACTAGCAATGATTGGTGGTGATGATTTGTTAGAATATTGAAAATATCTTCTCTTCATTTTATTCAACGCTTTGCATTCCATTGCTAACGCTTTATCAACATAATGTGGTAATGCATTTTAGATATATATATCATGGTTTTAAAAACCATTATGGCCCGATAGATCGGTTTGGAACTTTACAGATCCTAAAAACCTAAGGGATCCAATATAAATCACAGGTTAATCGAATCAAAAGCCTATTGATAATGTCATTTTACTTTATACAGAAAATGAGTCTAGGATGACTCCATCAAAACTCATGATTCAAGATTTGGATAGAGCCTATCATCATATCAGGTTTCAAAACTATAATATTTATTAGAAAGTTCTTTATGTGTTATGCTTAAAATTTTCTTGAACATAAAAAGATGTTGGTAATGTTTTTCTAATAAAAAAAATTAAATCATATGAAAATTAACTTAATATAACTCAATCGGCTTTAAAAGTCTAAAGAAAACCTGAACAACTAACAAAAACATAGTTTAACTTAAAAAAATTAAGACAACAATATATTTGATTGATTTGGATCAATCCTGGTTAACTTGTCAAATCCGCGACCCAGGTCAAGTTACATGATAACCCTGTATAAAATAAATTAAAACAATTTTTTTTCTTAAAATTCCTAGTCAACCCAAAGTTCAATGAAAAAATTAAAAAAGAACAAAAAAAGAATAACACCTCAAGTCAACCTAGATTAATCTGCCAAACTCACAATCTGATTCATGAGACTGAGATAACTCAATAAAAAATAAACTGAAATAAATTATAAAGCCTGATTTTTTATAAACCTATTTTTGAACGATGAAATTGGAAAAAACTCAATCTAAGAAAAGGAAATAATAAAATGATTTAAGTATAGCCAGGTTAACCTGCAAAATCCATAACTTGGTTTATGAGATTGAGATAATCTTATAAAAAAAATATGAAAAAATCATAAAGTTTAATTTTTAATTAAGATGAGATTGAAAAATTGCTATTTTTTATAAAATAAAAAAACTCGAGTCAATTAGGTTAACTCGCTAAATCTGTGATATAAATCATGAGACTGAGATAAACATATAGAAATCAAACCTCGACAAATCATAAAACCAAATATCGAATAAATCAAATGTTGAAGGATGAAATTAAAGGAAAGGTATAGATTAAAAATATAAAGAAAAAGAAAGAAAAAACTATTCTAATGAATAGTATTTTATAAGGTGGTGCATGATAAAAACACAGCTCATTTTATTTTTTGTTAACTAAATAAGTAGCTTATGCTTCATCGTAGATAGATCCAATTTTTTTTCAATGTAAAAAAAAATGTTTAAAAGGATACTAAGGAAATCAAAATGTTCCTAAATTTTTTTTTGTATCTTGGGTAATTACTTTGATTAAGTTTAATAAGGTTGACTAATTTTATAAGAAGAATAAAAAAAATACAATGACCTGAAAAAAAATAACAATAAAAAGAAGGTAAGAAAAGCTTAACCTAAGTCCGTTTGGGTTAACACATGAAATATGTGACTTGCTTATTTCACAAAGAAAACCTTGAATAAAAATATAAAACTCAATTATCAAACAACTTGGTATTAAAAGGAAAAATTAAAAAATTAAAAAAAATTAAAAAAACTCGAGTCAAACTAGGTTAACTTCTTAACCTTATAATCACTTGTATAAGATCAGGATAACACAATAATTTTTTTAAAAAAAATATAAAAACTAATTTTCAATCAATTTGAAGAATAAATTTAAAAAATAAAATATTTTTTAAAAAAGTCAATTGTGAAGATCTCATATGATAGCTAAGAAAAAAAATTAAATGAGAATACAATAATCCCTTAAAAAGTAACATGAAAAAATCAAAGCTCAATATCTTAGACCTGAATTCAATTTCTAATTAATTTAATGCTAAAAGATAAAATCAGAAAAAAAATAATTTTAAAAAATTATCAAAGTAAAAAAAATCAATAAAAATAATAGGAATTAAATAAGTTAGAAAAAAAACTGAAGGATGATGAAGCTATAAAAAATTAGTTTAAAAATTTATCTTAAATAAAATAAATAGTAATCAAAAGAATAAGAATTAAATTTAACATATAAAAAAATTAAAGGAGATTGAAATAAAAAAAATATTTGAATTTTATAAGTTATTTTAAATAAAATAAATATCAATAAAAATACATAAACCAAACCTGAAAAAAATTAAAAAAATATTTAAAAAAAACAAAGAAAAAAAATAAAAAGTAATTATCGACATCAAATTAAGGATTCATTGACCAAACACATCACCTAAATAATGTTGGTGGATGTGCTGCGAACTACTTTTTTTTATTTTAAATAGTGTTGTTAATATTTATTAAAATACTAAACTATCATTGTTCTATTTAATTATAGCAATAAAAAAAAAGTTAAAGTATTAAAAAATACCTCTAGACTCTAGTTTAAGATATTTTTAAGGGTTATTCAATTATTTTACCATTCTTAAAAAGATGAAAAAGATGTAAAAGCTCTTTTAACACAAGTTCAATATTTTTTATTTTAAAAATAATTAAATTAATTTACAGTGCTAAACAAATATAAAAAAATTGATATATACAAATAAATTTGATAATTACTGATTGATCATATAAAAATACTATATTATTCTTTTTAGTTTTTTTATTACTAATGATTGGATCAGAATCATAAACTCAAGATTCAACTTTTAAGGTGCAAGTTATGTATTGGCTTCGTCAATTTATGAAATGGCAAATCATTTTTTTTTATTAAAATAATATTAATTTAATTAAAAAAAATATAAAACTTTACCCTAATCCAGCTTGAGGAGGCATTAAATTAACTAGTAAGACAAAGTAGATTTTATAACTATAATTGTGATGGTAATCTAATATTATTATTATATTTTTTGAAATAGAGTTTAGATTAAACATTTATATAGCATCGTTGGATAGGTTATTAGTAGAGTGTTATTTTTATTAAAAATAGAATTATTTTATTTTTAAAATGTAATTTAATATAAAACCTAATCTAGAAAAATAGTTAAGTTAACAAACCAATATTATTATTAGTTTTTTAAATTCAGTTTAGAAGAATTATTTAAGGTATGATTAGAAATATAGTTAGAATTATTTTTTAAAGTGTTTTTTATATTAAAATATATTAAAATAATATTTTTTATTTTTAAAATTATTTTTAAGATCAATGTATTAAAATAATTTAAAATATATAAAAAATTAATTTTTAATTAAAAAAATTTAAAATTTTTAAAAACAACGCTTTATTACACAGGATCATTGAAATGGCTTATTAAATATTAAATTGAAGGTGTCAACCATCTCGAACCATTTTCCCACGAGATCAACTAAACCAATATCGCATGCCAAGAGGGTCTAGCCCTTGCGAGTCTAGTCTAGCCCTTGCGGGTCCGCTTAAGGCTGGCCCCCGAGAAGGGACTACCAAAAGCATTAACAACGTGTGGACCCACCCTTCTAGGTAAACGTCCCATTAGCACGTGAGAACACCAGTAGGCCCTTTTTTAATTGACCCCCACAAATCAACACCACGTACCCCAAAAAACCAATGGGACCACCTTGCACGTGTAAAATCAAATCTCACGTGACCTTCTCCGTTAACAAATCTGAATTCTAAGAGCTTGTTTGGCAAAGACAAGTCTTTTGTCTCTGTGTGTTTTTTTTAAGCTTTCGGGGGTGTGTTTAATGTTTGATAAAATTTTAAGAGTCATTTATAAGCCAAAAATCAAAGAGCTTTGATAACTTATTATCCGCCAACTTAACTTTGATTGAGATTCATTTCAAACCAATTAAAAAGTTAATTAAATTAACTTGATAAAACCCAATTAAAATAAGAGCAATCTAATAAACTCCAGGAAATAAAAATTATGTAATTTTGATTTTTTTTAAATAACATCATTTTATTTTGAAAAAACAAAACAAAAATAATTTTAATTTTAAGTTAACTTAGTAAAGAGCAATAACCTATCTCTATCTCTGTGACCAAATCAAACCACAACCTAGTTTAATGTCTAATAGTAAGGTTTTTTAAATTTATATATATATATATTTTTAATTTTATCATTATACTTTTTTTAAATTATTTAAGTGTTTTTTAGATTGATCCAATTAATTGAATAATGTTAAGACAATTCTTACATGATTGGTTGAATTTTAAACCCAAGTTAGATAAAAAATCAAGTAGATATTTTTGTTTTTTTTAGTATTTTTCTCTTAATTTTGTCTTCAGACCTTTTCTACAAGGTGGTTGAATTACATGACAAGTCAACTAGATTATGTTGAAATAATCTATTCATAATTTTATTTTAAATTTGGTCTAAAACAAATTAGATTAAAAAGTTTTTTATATTAATTTCATCATAAAATATATTTTTAAACAACTAAGTTGACTAGATAATATTAAAATAACTCTGATTTTAAACCTAACCAAATAAAAAAATAAATCACACTATTTTTTCTACCAATTTTATTTTAATATTTTCTTTTCTACTAATTTTTTTTAATATCACCTTTTATCCAGCGAAGTTAATTAGGTTACGTGAATTCAATTTACACACATTTTAATTTACGAGCCACATAAAGAATCAAATCATAAAGATACATACACAACTTACCAAACAAACCTTAGGCCAACCAAGGGTTCACGAAATCAAACTTTCCAAAGAGAATCAGAGAAAGGCACGAAGTAAAGACAAGAGGGCTTTAATATCCATAAAACCCAGAAAGATAACATAAACAAAACCGAAACAAATTTAATCCTGTTCTTGTTATTAAAAAAAAAGAGAAGGCACATGCCCCATAACCCTAACACACTATCACTGCTACCATTAACATTGTGTTGAGCTGAACCTCCAACAGCAACCAACCCCATCATCTATAAATTCAAGATTCTGAACATGGTGCCTGTTGATGATCATGATTAACAGGATGACTAAAAAATTGAAGCTCCTTCTTATCATAAATCTCCAAAGAGAAATCCCTTAACAATTGTGCACCACCACCACCACCACAAGCAGCAGCAGCACTTGATCCTGAGCTTGATGAACTCATTGACCCAATAGTATTAGGAGGTGACCCACCTGACCCCAATAACTCACCACCAGCATCACCGAAATCAACACTAACATTTCCGGCCAATTGGACCCCAGGCTGCATAGCAGAAACAAAGCTAGAAATAGGCCTCGCAGCCATATTAAAAAATGGAGTCGTACTAGTAGCAGGAAAAGCCCAAAATTGAGCCTGATTAGACCCACCAACACCGACACTACTCCCTTGTGGGAACACAAAGGTCCCCATTGGCCATAATGGCACCAACCCTTGTGGACTTGTAGAAGCAATAGGAGCCAAACCAGAAGAAACTGAATTTTGATGAGCTGCTTCAGTAAGATCAACAAAATCACTATTACAAGGTCTCTTACGTTTTTTCTTATGCACCAAACCATCAGCATCACTGTCTGCTGCTTCTGTAGCTGGTGATTCAGTTGGGATTTTTAATGTTCCATTGACAGAAACAGCAATAGCAGGCACTGTACCTGTACCTGTTGCTGCAACAATTGCTGGCTCTGCGTGTTCAAGCAACCATCTTATTGTTTCACCATCAGATTTGTGACCTAGCTCCCGAGTTAACTGAAAAATCCTGGCTGCACATGTTGCTGGCATCCGAACTCTGCGTCCTCGACCTTCTACCTTTGTGTGCCTGTCCTTTGTGTTTCTTTTCTGTGCCATTACTACTTGTTGTTGTCTTTGTACCTGATGGACAACAAGACAAGAATTTGAAGAACTGTTGTTGATTCTTCTAACGTTGTTGTCGTGTTCCTCAAGTTCTCGGCTTCCTTCTGGTTCTGTCAAGGTTTCTTCTTTGAGTTGGAGTGTAGTGCGATCGGGCTGGTTGGATACATTTGCAACGGTGATGCTATGTTCTTGGTCTATTTCTTCAATGGTGTGGTGGTGGTTTTGTGAGCCCATAGTCAAACAAGAAATTGAGAAAAACCCAAGATAAAATAAAATTAAACACCACCCAGAAAAGTTTGATGAAAGCCCAGATAAAATCAGGTTTAATTTCAGAAAAACTCAAGAATTTCTTGAAACTCTGATTTTCAATTAGAAAAAAGTTAAGGCATGTGGAGGGTTTTTGAAAATTTTCAGTGTCTCCTACATAATATACTGTGTGGAAGATTAGAAGACACAGAGAGAAAGCAACAGGGCCTTTCTTTGTTTGTTGAGTGGAAAGAAGAGAAAAAAATGGATAAAGAAACAGAGAGGAATTAGAAACCCTAGCCCCACTTATCTTTGTGTGAAGGAGGGACCCTCAAAATCAGTATTTATTTGAGGACGAAGAAGAATCAACGGCTGGGAGATTTGGGGTGGGGTAGATTCATTGTTTAAATTTTACTAATTTAATATACACTCAAAAATCTATATTCAATAGCTTTTCTAATTAAATTAATTAAATTAAAAGGATTTAAAACCTATTCTAAAAACATTGCAGCTCCATATTTATTTTTCTGTTCTATTTTTTTCATCTCCTTCTCTAATATTGTAATTTTACTTGTTGATATTTTAATTTCAATTTCAATTTTTTTAATTTTTAATTTTATTTTTTATAAAATCTTAATTTTTAATTTTATTAATCAATCTTAATTTATCAAATATTATATTTTTTTAATTTAATCTTCATTATTTGAATCTTTATTTTTTTCATGTTTTTTTTGTAATAGTTTCATTAATTTTTAATTTTATCGTTCAATTTAAATTGATGATATTATATTTTTTAATTTAATTTTTAATTTCTAAGTTTTCTAGATTTTTTTTAATTATTATTATTCTCAGTTTTACTCTTTAATCAAAATAATGTTTTAATTTTTATATTAATTTTTATGCTTATTTTTTAATTTTTTTGTTTCTTTACTAAATTGTTTTTTTTTCAAATTCATCCATTAATGAAATATAAATTTTATTTTATTTTTTAATCATGATATTTATTTTTTTAATTACTATTTTAAATCATTTTATATAATTATGATTCTTTTCTCTATTTGATTATTTAATATTTAATTAATTATAAATTAAATTTTATAATTTTTTTAAAATTAGATATTTTGAGTCTAACAATTTGGATTTCAAGTTTAAAAAGTTAATATTTCTTTTAAAAAAGTTATATAATTTTTTATTTTTATTGAGTAATTCTAATTTTATTATTTAAATTATAAATTTAACGAGATATTTTATATTGACTCATCTTTGATTACCATGTTTAGAAGTTTATCAAATTATAATTATTTTTTATAGATATTTTGTATTGACTCATCTTTGATTAAAGTTTATCAAATTATAATTATTTTTTATATTATTTTTTATTTTATTTCAGAAATTAAATATTTTTTTTATAAAAAATAATAGTTCAATCTCGAAATAAAATGGGAGTAGCTAGGATAGTCTTTTCATAACATTTTTAAAATTATCTCTTAAGAAAGAAAAGAAATGTTTTGAAATTTGAAGCTGAATTTTCTAATGATACTGGATATTGATTTTTTAAACCAAACAAAATGATTTTTTTTTTTCTGGTTACAAACAAATAAAGTCAGAAGGGCAGTAATCGTGACCATTGATTCAAGGGTTCTTGCATCTAAAAATACAGTTCCATCAATTCCATCTAATAAAAGGAAATACAGAAAGTAAATGGAGGAGGGGATGGAGATATCGTCATCGACGCAGGCAGCTGAGAGCTCTTCCTCTGATATTGTATCTCGAGCTAGGAAATTGCTGTTTCGACGGATGCTAGTTGGAATCAAGGATGGACGGTTTTTCTTAGGAAGCTTTCATTGCATGGACAAACAAGGCAACATCATCCTCCAAGATGCAGTTGAATACCGTAACACCCATCGATCCTCTCCTTCTTCAATGGAACAACGCTGTCTTGGTCTCATTCTCATACCTTCCTCTTGTCGAACTTCTTGTCATGTCGATTGCTCTATTGAAGAACAGCTCTCCCTTTTGAAGTTTCAATAAATCTTTCTACTTTCTTGTTATTTTAACAATGCAAAAGTGCAACTAGTGAATTTTAATTTTACTGGGTTATTTCTTTCTTTATTTGTGATCGTTTTTTATTGATTTATGTGGGTTCTTTTGTGATTGTTCTTGAGTGTTATGTTTGTGATTGTTCTTGATTGTTTTATGTGGGTTCTTATCATTATTAGAAACTACTACTGTATACTGTATTTATGATTATCAAAATAGATTGAATGTGGTGGCCGAGGCCTTGGGAGCAGGAAATTAAACATGAATCAAAAGCCCAGGAAGGCTATGAATCCAGCATGTGCTGGACGCAATTCTTGTCCATCATAGAAGAGGAGAAGCGATATGGACAAGAGGAAGAGTGGATTAGATTCTTGGAACCGAGCGGCCCTTCCATTAGGTGAAGGGATTTCTCTACCCAAGCCGCCGCTGACCACCTGCATCATTCAAACTGGCTATCATATCATCATGCTTTTGATTATTTATTTGGTTAATTTCCAGCTTGATATTTGTTCCAGATGACGTGCTAGATTCAGTAATCTAAATCATGATTCCAGGAAAAGGCATCGTGAACAACCATTGCTCGTCTTGAATGTTAATGAAGGAGTTACCCTGTTGTTAAAGTGTTTTTCATATCCTTACGTTTTTCTAATTCATAAGAACACGCGCGTCTTCGGGCATTGACCTCTCAGGAGACCTTAAGACGCCGTAATCGGCTTCTATCTATTGCCAATTTAGCTGCAACATGGTAATTTGATACCTGTAACAGGCGGGGCAGCATTTTTCAGGCATATCCTGGTTAATATCTGTGATCTAAAAGAGATAACTTCATCGAGCCAAGAAGGTAATTTGATACCTGTAACAGTCGGGGCAGCATTTTTCAGGCATATCCTGGTTAATATCTGTGATCTAAAGGAGATAACTTCATCGAGCCAAGAAGATTGTTCAAAGGCTTGAATAGAAGTGTGATTTTCAGCACAATCCAACCGTGCGTAAGATTATACATTTCAGAGGATGAAAGAAGATGGATAGACATTGTAAAACATACTGATAATTAAGTTTCTAATTTTGCGTTGATCAGCAAAGCAGTTTCATCTTTAATCATTTCTTATGCATGTTGAGATAACATGTAATTAGCCAGGCACAAGACACCAATTTGAGACACAGGCCAAGTTTGGCATTGTGGTACAACCATGATTTTTGAATTTTATTTATTTTTAAATTTATTTTAATGTATTGATATAATAAATAAATAAATAAAATATTATTTTGATATATTTTAAAGTTAAAAGTATTTTTAAAAGTAGCTGTTAAGGGTGACTTTTTCTTTATTTGAGATTATGGTTGCAATTGTTTTTTAAAATGTTTTTATGTTGAAATGCATTAAATATTTTTTTTATTTTTAAAAAATTATTTATTAGATCAACGAATTAAAACGATCTAAAATACATAAAAAAATAATTTATAGAAAAAATTTGAATTTTTATGAAACGTGGTTTGCATGGCATTCCCAAATGGTGCTTTTATCCTTTTCTTGCTCAAGTTTATGTATGTTTGGTAATATAATGTAAATTACTTTTTAATTTTTTAAAAATAAAAAATATTATTTTGATATATTTTTAAATTAAAAACATTTTAAAAAATAAATTTTACTACAATAAAAGAGGTGAGTGACTCTATCCTTTTCTTGCTCAAATTTTCGTGTGTTTGGTAATACAATCCAAATTAGTTTTTAATTTTGTATCAAAATAATGTTTTTTTAATTTTAATTTTAATTTTTATATTGATATATCAAAATCATCAAAATAACATAAAAAATATCAATTCAAGTAAAAAATAGTTTGAAAAGAACTTTGAAAAACATATTAACCATAAAAACAAAATCCTTTTAATTAATGATTTATTCAACTTCTCATATCACTTTTTTTTTTGTACTAATCATTCCATAAATGCTTTTTAATTGATTTTCATTTTTAACTTATATACTAATAATTAAATAATAGATTTTTGATATGTCTAAAAATTAATTGAATAATACATATTTCCTAACATGAATAAACACACACTTATAATAAATGTAATCCCATGTAAATGTTTCATGCAGCGCGTTCAACACAGCATGACTTGGTTGTTACGGGTCATAAATAAGGTTGGTAAACTTAGAATAATTTAAATCAATATAAAATAATAATATTATTTTATCTTAGTTTAACTAGATTTTACTTGGATTTTAATCCAACTGACCAGGTCAATCAAGTTTGATTACCACAATTATAATTTAGTTTGATGTAAACTTGTTAATCTAGATACTAAATTGTTATATTGAGTCAAGTTTGATAACATTCGTTAAAAGAATAATGATTTTTTTTAATGAATGAAAATTTAACTACACGAGGTTTCTATTATTTCACAATTCAAAATTTTTTCTTGTTCTGAGAAAGACAATTTGAACTCAATTGTTTTTTAAAAAATAAAAAAGATATTACTAGACTATAAAATTCATCAACTACCTCAAATAAATCTGTGAACAAAATTAATTACTTGCAAATTGAGTTTCTGTTAATAAGCATTGAGCGCAACTTATTTTTAATGAAAAACTATGTTCACCGAAAAAAATTGTTAAGAAAATTATTTTCTCGATTTTGAATAATTTTAATATAATTTCATTAAAATATGTGATGAATTGAAATGGAAAGATATGGGCGAGAATCTTTACCATTTTAGGTTCAATTAAGAGAAAACAGACTTTATGAACTAAAGTGAAACTTACTATGTAATTGGAGGACTAATTTGAGATTTGTCAAAAAATTGTCCTTCAATATTACAAGACAAGACATTAGTCACTGCTTGGTAATGTCAAACATGTCAACTCCAGTTTCAGTGTCCTTAGTACATGTTCCCTGCAATATTTTTTGACTTTCTAAAATCAATGGCTTATAAAAGGGCCGCTGAGGAAACTGTTTCTTTCATTCTTTGTGCTTCACGTAGAAGAATGTAGTTATCAAGAAGTAATAATATGAGCAAGATTAAGCATTCTCTGAAATGTGTTCTTTTAGACAGCATTCAAAGATGCAAAAAGTTGAAAATTTTCAAGGAAATCCATGCACAGTTGATAACATCAGGGGTTGTCTCTAATGACTTGGTTGTCAACAGGGTTGCTGAGTTTTTTGCAAAAGGTCCAAACTTTGCAGATTATGCATACGATTTTTTGAGTCAAAGTGAGTGGAATCCTTTCCTTTTAATTCATTGGTTTCTGGTTATGGTCTTTGTGATAGGCTCAAGACTGCATTTTTGGTTTATAGAAGGATAGTGAAAGATGGATTTTTGCCTGATATGTTTACTTTGCCTGCTGTTTTGAAATCATGTGCTAAGTTTATGGGGGTTGATGAGGGTAGGCAGGTTCATGGGGTGATTGTTAAGATGGATTTTGTATGTGATATATATGTTGAAAATTCTCTTGTTCATTTTTATAGCGTTTGTGGGAGTTTGGATGATGCTAGTAGAGTGTTTGACGAGATGCTTGTGAGAGATGCGGTATCTTGGACTGGTGTTATGTCCGGGAATGTAAGTGCAGGCTTGTTTGATGAGGCTGTAGGTTTGTTTTGGAGGATGGATGTTGAGCCAAATGCTGCAACTTTTGTTAGTTGCTTGTGGGAGAAAGGGGTATTTGAGTTTAGGGAAGGAGATTCATGGCTTTATCAGTGAGCGTGGGTTTGGATTAGGTTTGGAGGTTAGCAATGCTCTCATGGATATGTATGTGAAGTGTGAGTCTTTGCCTGAAGCGAAACAAGTGTTTGATGAGCTTCCTGAGAAAGATATTGTTTCTTGAACCAGCATTATTTGTGGAATGGTGCAATGTAAATTTCCCGAGGTTTTGGAGTTTTTGGTGATGTGCAAAGCTCTGGTATTGAGCCTGATGGGATTATACTTACCAGTGTGCTTTCAGCCTGTGCCAGTCTTGGAGCTCTTGATTATGGCAGATGGGTTCATGAGTACATCGACCATAAGGCCATCAAATGGGATATTCAAATTGGAACTGCTATGGTTGACATGTACGCAAAGTGTGGCTGTATAGAGATGGCAATGCAGATCTTCAGTGGAATGCCTCAGAAGAATGTTTTGACATGGAAGGCAATGCTAAATGGCTTGGCTATGCATGGTCATGGCCAGAAGGCACTTCGACTTTTCGAAGAGATGGTTAGGGAGGGCATGAGGCCAAAGGTGACATTTCTTGTCACTTCGACATCCTGCCGCCACTGTGGCTTGGTTGGTGAAGGGCGTCGGTACTTTCATTGGATGCAAAGTCAGCAATATAATCTTCCTCCGAGGTTAGAACACTACAGATGCATGGTGGACTTACTTTGTAGAGCTGGACTCTTGGATGAGGCATTAGAATTGACAAAGACTATGCCCATGCTACCTGATGTTCGAACAATGGGAGCTCTTCTTAGTTCGTGCAAGGCAAATGGAAATGTGGAATTCCCCCAAGAAATATTAGACCGCCTTGTGGAGTTTGACTCTCATGATAGTGGGGTTTATGCGCTCCTCTCTAATATACATGCTATCAATCAAAGATGGGCTGATGTAACAAGAATAAGAAGATTGATGATGAAGAAAGGTATTGAAAAAACCCCTGGGTCAAGTGTTATAGAGGTGGATGGTAAAGCTCATGAATTTATTGTTGGAGATACAAGGCATCCTCAAGACGAGCACATTCGTTTATTTTAAAAATCCGTCAGATCAAATCTTTCTTGAAGAGTATCTTGAACAGCCATTCTTGACATGATCACACTTTTGTGGTAAGCGCTGTTTTCAATGTTTTTGTTTCAAATTCTCACAACTGATGCATTTAATTCATGTTTTCTTAAAAACAAACTGCTTAACTTGTATTAAGGGACACTGGGACTGTGATCATGGCCTATATCTCTTGTATGTAATTGTATATTGGAAGAGCAAGGTGCTTTCCAAAATATCTAACAGAACAGATTTTGTGGTACTCGTTAATTTTTAAGAAGATAATCCCTCCAAGAAAGGGAAAAAGAAAAGGGCTGAGGTTAATAACTGTTGATTTGAAGACTATGTGGATGATAAATATGTCACAATAGAATTGTGGATTTGAAGGCTATGTAGATGATAAATATGTCAAATTACAGATACGGATCATTGAAATTCTGTTCGCGGTATAAGGCCAAGCATTTTTTCACCCATTCGTGTTATATGTGGTCAGCCTCCTAGTGTTTATGGTAAAGGAGATGAAATCGCCATGATGAATGATCTTAAAAGTTAGAATCATATTGGTACTCTCTCACTCAGTTTTGGAATCTATAAAAATGGTGCAATTACTAAAGTGGCTTTAATAAAAGAAGTCTGAAGTATTATATTCTTAGCATGTTGGGGCTTGTATATAACTGTTATCGATGAAGTTTTCCAGTTTGATTCCTGGGTTTGATATAAACATTATTGTTGAACTTGCAACCCATGTTTATCCGTCACTTTTTGGATGTTTGATCGAGTGATTAAGCTTTCATTCTCCCATTTTAATAACAATGTCCACAGCAGGTT